GACGAGGAATTTGGAATAAAGAAAGAGTGAACAACAACAAACAAAGTGACATTAACAACACATCATGCACACAACTCAGACAAAACTTAATAACACTTTTACGGAAGTAAGTCGGATAACACCCGGCTGCCTTCTTAATACGCAGTGGCATTGAGTCAAAACCGTTGGAGTTCCTCCATAAGAGGGCTTCTCTGCTCGCAAAAATTTTCACATCAAATTGGAAGTGGCGACGGCTATATATATTGGAACTGTCTTGTCCATTCTACGCCTTGTGGCATTACCTTTGTAACCTAGAATCTCTTCAAATTTCGGTGGTTAGCAGAGTCTAGACCAGCATACAGCAGGCCGAGATAAGGCCGAAAGTAAAAAGCGAAAAAAATTCTTCCAAGTTACCCCTTCAAGGTTGAAACAATTGCCAAGCTGTTGCCTGAAATGCCTACTCTTACAGACTTGTAATTTAGCCTGTCCTTAACAGAATGTAACGAATTCTAGTTTACTGGATTTTTTACTGCATTTTCTACTCTACGACAGCTCAAAAATTGGAGATGGTGCTTCCCGGTGTCGAGAGCTATGAACCGAAAAGAAATGTGATGCTGAAAAAATCCACTATTTCTTACGGTTGTTCCATGTATCCTACATTGACGAAGCTTCATGATGCGTTTTAAACGTTGGAAATTTGTTTAAGAAGTTGCACTTTATATTAAAATATTAATAAATTATTACTTTACAGAGTTATGCGAAACAACCGTCATTCCGTTGTTTTGTTGCTTCTTATATGCCTTGATTTACTAGGAGGATGAATAAGGAACATTTAACTCACAATAAACAAGCACGAATGATACTCGATATGACATACATTTTATAGGATAGCAAGTTCTATAGGCAAAAAATGCGCAGAATACAAGAATGTTTATTTTGCCTTCCGAGGGGACAGCGAAGAAAGAGATTTCTGAGCTCTCCAAATTGGCCTATAGTGGACTCGTTAAAGTTTTGGTGACACAGCTGAGCACGGGTTTGGCTCATTGTTTTTTCTTAAAAATTACGTGCTGCAGTTCTTTAAACTGGCTAAACCTAAAAAATTCAGGAAACACCGCAGTCCACGTAATAATCGAGTAAAGAAGTAGGTTCTTAAAATTTGCAACTTTAAAATATATTCTAGTCTTATAATTTTGAAAGAAACAAACACGAGAATCAGAGAACGCTGAGTTGAAGGCATCTGTTTACAACTTTGCAAAGTAACAATTTAGTAGTACTTCAAAGTAAAGTACAACTTTTGCACAAATTCCTGATGTTTAGAAAATGCCAAATTTTTACAGCTGTCTTCTAGGGCTTTCAGAAGCATCCCGGGACGCTTTAGTCATGTACTGGACTACTGTAAAAACAGAGGTTTTTTTCAGCTTCACACTTCTTTCAGATTCAAAGCTGTTAACGCCAAAAAAGCGCCATAACTAAATCTTGATACTTTGTAAAACAAAAAATCCTACACAAAGTGTCTTTTTTTAGGAATTCAAAACGTGTCATACTTTATATTTGTTTGAAATCTTGTTTTTTGCTGTATCTATAAGGCTTTTCAGCAGAATTTAGTCATTTGATATGCCTTTGAAAGTGCAGGACAAATCTAGTAAAAAGTTATACGTAATATTTTTTGGTCAAAACCAGAAACTGCTTTAGGATAAATTGCTTAAAGTGGCTGATGTATTCATTTTTTAACATTGTATAAACAATAGTTGTTCATTAGAAAGACTTTTAGGGGTCATACGTGGCAAACTGTAAAAATTTACTGTAGAAAAAGTCGAGAGCACTACAGAACTTTTGAAACATTTTTATGAATTTAACTGCAGACAGTGACATCACCAAATGTTGAATACAGGTTTTTTTTTACCTACAGAACAAGGAACTGTAGTGTTCAAACTGCAAAATAAAAATTGAAAGGTTACCACTTCCATGACTGTAGATTTCGAAAGCTGTAGTAACAACTTATGTGCTATTAAAAGCTGACAGACAAGATATTTCCTGATTTTCGCTTCAGATTACACGTGAAGTTCGGAACAGATAAAAATTATTAACAATTTTTTTTTCTGCTCCTAATGCATAAAAAACTCTCGTCTTTTGACTATGTAAGATTTCCATTATTTATCTCTTAAAATTTTCTGCAACTTAGCTTTTTTGGATGCCTTTTATAATTATTATTTTTAAAAATTTCACTTTTTTTACAGCTGCGTCTAACTCCAGTTTTGAACAGCATTCAGAATTTCTCCTCAACCAAAGCTGATCTTCGCAACTTTCTCCGTCTTGCCTTTTCTGTACTTCTATTTTAACCGTTTATGACGCCATGATTGTTTTGTTGCTTATTTGACAGCTAAGATATTGCAGACTTTTCCATTCAAGTTATTCAAAATAACTAGGAAAAATCAAATAATTGTAGACTGTCCGAATGTAAAGAAAGAAAACATTTTTTGTATTACAATTCTTTGATCAGTCATATATTTTTTCGAGGTCAAAATCTACTTGGTCATACAAGAAGATGGAAAATGTGAATGGGGAAAATTGAAAGAAATTAGAGCTGCTGTTCTCTTCTTAGCCTACCGATGACGAAAAAACTGCATTTATATAATGCAGGTCCTGCTGAGCAGAGCCGCACAGGTGTAAAGGTGTTAATATTTGATCGAAAGAAGGATTCTGGATTTTGTTTGTAACAGCTAAGCTTCTTAAAATGTTCCCACCACTGTCGCCTGAGCTCATCCTGTTTGCAGTAGCGATGCAATGCGATTTTCGTGATAACAGTGAAATCAGTTCTTTGAGATGCAAAGCTACAGAAATTTTCTATACTTGTCTTACACAACAGTTTCGTCGGAAAAGTTCATGGTTTCTCTTATGTCGCGCATCGTTTGTAAAAACTAAAGAAGCTAATAACAAAACAGATGAACTACTACAGTGCAATGATTTAGGCAGTCAGAGACCACCACGAAATTGCAGAAATGGAACAGAGTTTGACGCATCTGAGAAAGCCAAAAATCTTGTATCCTACGCAGCTTTTGTTTGAAAAAACCATTTTTTCTCAAAAATAAATGTCACTTGCGACAATATCGTTGAGTACTTCTCATACAGTAACAAACTGTAAGTACCTTTATATTAAATAGAGCTTTTAAAATAATTTTGTAGCAACTGAAACATACCATTTTAGACACTGGCCCTTCATAACTTTTAGAAACAGCTGGCGTCAACTCGGTTACTTTGAAATGCATGCGGTTACTGTAAAATCGGTGGATCCACCATACTTCGTTTTTCAAATCAAGATAACATTGTTAAATTGTGGTATGTCATAAATCGAAAGATTCTGCACAGAGTACGTCTTTTTTTTTTTTGATTTTAAAATTATATATTTTTTTGTATTTTTTCAATAAACTTTTCCCTTTGCTGTATGTTCTCAGCTACTCAATATGATTAAATGACAGTATATCACTGCGTGTAAAAATTGAAGACTTCAGAAATCTAGAAAACTAAAAAAATTTAAATTTTGTTAGAGCTAAGCTGGCTTAAAAATCCAGGAAGATAGGCCTACTGACTAGCAACTTGCTAAATTTTGCAACTTTGAGGGACATCATTCGACAGCGAGTCCTCTTTTCCAGGTCAATTTTTCAGTACAGTTTGTTTTGCGAACTTTAAAAAGCATGATCATTGTCAGTCGAGAAAGCCGATACGTTTCTGAATGGCATTTCAACAGTTTTGGCGAATATCACTTGCTTGGCCACAACAACTGATGAAAGTCGTCTTTACACGGTTATAGCCTGTATCGTCATCGTTGATATTGCCGTCGGTCTGAAGAGAGTGCAACCACCGAGTGGTGAAGTAAAAATATCCGGCTGCAATACACTGCACATGGTTTTTAAACAAGGAATGTGCTAATTCCACGCAGCATTAGATGGCTAAGTAAAGCATGAACGGTGCTGGAAGGCAGTTTGTGGAACATGGAAAGGGATGAGGTTGCTCGTTTTTGGGAATTTAAATTGGTTCCTGTTTCTCCGTTTCGTTGTATTCAGTGATGCTTATAACATTTGACCAATGATAGATGCATAACTTCTGAACTGTAGTAATTTTACGCAGAAATTACTGTCGTCAAATCAAGAACTTGTTAGAAAATATGACTACACGTTGGAACATAAAGGTTTATTTATTATCTCCTCAGATACGTAGATTTAATAAGTGCCAAAAGTGAGGATATATGACTGGAAAAGGTAAAGAGTTATATCTTTTGGTTATAACGTTTCCGCATGTCTGGATTGGCCTATTTTATTAACCGAGCTCCATAGACAGTCATTGTTTTCAGGGCCGGTTACACATTAAGTGTGATGGAAAGTTTGTCACTAAGAGAAATTAGAGACGAGTGTATTGTTTTTGGGCTTTAGAAGTTGTGCTACGTGTTTTTAGTGTTTATTGGTGACCTACAAACGGAAATCACAAATAAGAAGTTCTTATATATTTTTTTTATCCAGTATGTGATTAAAGGTCATATTGTGAATTTTTTGCATTATTTTGTTTTGTTCTTAAGTGCATTTTTTACAAACAGTACAAACAGCTTTTTTAAAGCTTTTATATATTTTATGGGCAAAACAACGTAATATATTTGTACAGCTTGTTTGCTGCTACTCTTTTATACTCGTGCTTCGAGCATATTAGATTCAGTTGATAAACATTTTCGAGGGTATACTTTAGCCAAGAAGACAAAAATCACTAGTTTTTAGTGATTGTAAATCGTGTAAAGGCTTTTTTCTAATGTTTTTTTCACCAAGTTTTTATTCATTGTGTCTTTTTTATTTTTTGATTTATTGCACTTGTGATTTTCTGCTCGCAAACTATATCATTTTCAACACTGGGTTAAAGTTTTATGTTTTATTAAACAGTACCAAAATTTTTTGACATTTTCGTTGTGGTAAGACTCAAACATTATGTTCATTGCTTCGTGACATAACTTTTACTGTTCAGATACACTGATTAATTCTGAGATTTACTACAGCTTTCAAGTAAGGTTTTTACATTTGTTGGTATATGTCAGGAGAAAAAACGTGTGTTCCTCGACTGTTATTTTATAAAACGATGAAACTGAAGTTATCTGCTGTTTCAGCTTAGTTAGCTTAATTTAGATTGGGTATGACGGAAACATCCCCGAAAAGTGGGAAAATATTCAAAAGTTCCCCAGGAACAACAAGTCTGCTCACATTTATAATTCTTGCTCTAGCATGGTTGGTTGGATTCGCTTCTCGTTTATTTGCCATTGTCCGATTCGAGTCAATTATTCACGAGTTCGACCCATGGTACAAGGTTTACAAGTCTAATACCCTTAAAACCAAAATTGGGCTTTTCAAACTTCATTTCCTTTTCAAGGTTCAACTATCGTGCCACCCACCATATGGTCGAGCATGGATTTTATAATTTCCTCAACTGGTTTGATGAAAGGGCTTGGTATCCCTTAGGCAGGATCGTTGGCGGAACAGTTAGTTCATTTTTTTAAATTGGTTTTTGATGATTTTCAGAACATGTCATCAGTGATGATTTTGAAAGCAGCTATCTGGACTTGAAATTGATAGACAGTAGGTTCCAAACACTTCAACTATATAGCCTTGTGTCACCATTTTTGTTCTTATTACTACTATTGTTTTCATTTATTATCATTAGTGATCATTATTATTTATTATTATTATGCTGGAAATGCTTGTTACTTACAGGTGTACCCTGGGTTAATGGTGACATCGGGTGCCATACATTATGTACTTTCTGTGCTGAATATTCCAGTTCATATTCGGGACGTGTGCGTTTTCCTGGCCCCTATTTTTAGGTGATTTCAGCACCGCTTTTGGAAAGGGATCTTCTAGATAGTAATACTCGTTTAAAAAAATAATTTTTTTCATTGGGGGTCTTTGCACAATGAAAGAATTCTTCAGTGGTTTAACTGCAATCGCCACGTATCTTTTGACGAGAGAGTTATGGACGGCAGGTGCAGGCTTATTCGCTGCTTGTTTTATTGCCATTTCTCCGGGTTATACTAGTCGATCAGTTGCGGGATCTTATGACAATGAAGGCATTGCCATATTCGCTTTACAGGTTTCTTTTCGGATGAAAATAGTCCTGTGCTCCAGCTAATTTTTTTGGTTTCTTTTTCGGGTTTGGTGTTCAATTGGAGGGTGATTTGCTTTTTCGTGCTTTTTAATTTCTTAGGCTACTGGACATTGCTGTCTTTCTCGTCATAGACAGAAGTCTAATTTTAGTTTACTTACTTCCTTTGGGTTCGTTCTGTAAGAACTGGCTCGGTTTTTTGGGGTGCTTTGACGGCACTTTCTTACTTTTATATGGTTTCTGCGTGGGGAGGATATGTTTTTATCATCAACTTAATTCCTCTGCATGTATTAGTACTCATTGTCATTGGGAGATATACGTCTAAACTTTACGTTGGTAGGTTTTTTTCGGGACTTCAATTTTCTGCTTTAAATCTTATGTTAATTGTTTTTGGAGTAAAGAGTATGACTAAAATTTGCGTGATCTTCCACTGGGGAGTTAAGGTTTTTTCACTGAGCATATGTATTTAAAATATTGAAGTGGTACTAGCCTCTTTTTAGCTTATACTACATTTTATGTCCTCGGCCAAGTAATGGCTATGCAGGTTCCGTTTGTTGGTTTCCAGCCGGTCAAGACTTCTGAGCATATGGCAGCAGCTGGAGTTTTTGGTCTTTTGCAGGTGTTTATATGTCATCATTACATTTCGCTTTTTGATTGTTACTTAGTTTTCCACATTTTGGAGTCATGTTGTGCATCTTGTTGTTTTTCTTTGTTGTTTTGACGTCTTTGCTTTTAAGCTAGTGGCATTTTTGAAATATTTGCAAAAACGTGTTTCACCGCAACAGTTTATGACATTGTTCATTGGTGGCATTTCGGTAGTATCTGCACTTGGGCTTGCGATCATTGTTTTACTGACTTATGCAGGTATTGCCTTCCGGTAATCAAATTTTTACTCCATTGCTTCTTATTGGCTTACCTCTTTACTACAGGTTCTACCAAACCCATTCTTAGTGTAAAATGCAGAGTTTACAAAATTCCCCCTTAGGTTACATCGCTCCTTGGTCTGGTCGATTTTATTCATTGTGGGATACAGGTTATGCTAAAATTCATATTCCCATTATTGCATCTGTTTCTGAACACCAGCCGACTACGTGGGTTTCCTTCTTTTTTGACCTTCATATCACAGCAGCGATATTTCCTGTCGGATTATGGTACTGCGTGAAAAACGTCAACGACGAGAGAGTTTTTAGTAAGTCGGTCTAATAGTTACTTGTGGTTCGTGAAAAGTTGGAGCTGTAAACTGGTAAAATAATTTATTTTACAACTGTGTTGAAGACAAAGTGTACGAATTAAGCTGTTTCAGTCATTCTTTATGCTGTGACTGCTGTTTACTTTGCTGGCGTTATGGTTCGTTTGATGCTTACTTTGACACCAGTTGTTTGTGTTCTTTCTGGAATTGCCTTCTCACATACGTATGAAAAATTCCTTGTTGATGACAGTAATGAGTCTACGTCTAAAAGGTTTCTTACATTTATTTTTAATTCCATCTTCAAGTTCGCCCGGCCTCTAAATAAACATTAGTTTTAAGCCCGCCAGCGGAAGACAGTGGCGCACAAAAGTACGACAAGCCATCGAAAAACAGAAAGGGAACGACGTCTGGTTCCAAGTCTGATGTACCACAGGAAGATACATCTCTCGGCACTAATACCCGCTCTATTGTTTCAGTAGTTCTAGTACTGATGTTGTTGATGTTTGTTGTTCACTGTACGTATGTGACAAGCAATGCCTACTCACATCCATCTGTGGTTCTTCAATCTCATACGTCTAGTGGAGGACGAGTTATTATGGATGACTTTCGTGAGGCATATTATTGGTTGAGGAAGAATACCGAAGAAAATGCTCGAATTATGAGTTGGTGGGATTATGGCTATCAAATTGCGGGTATGGCTAATAGGACTACTTTGGTGGACAATAATACTTGGAACAATTCCCACATAGCTTTAGTTGGGAAGGCTATGTCTTCAAACGAATCAGCAGCTTACGAAATTATGAGAGCGCTGGATGTGGATTATGTGCTTGCTATATTTGGAGGAGTTATTGGATATTCAGGTATATA